CCCCACGGAGAAGAATAGGACAGGCCAGTATGCCTGCTCATTTTATCTTCCAAAAACTCACACAACCTAATCAAACATATTCAATTCAGAAAGAAAAAATGTTTGGGTGCCTGGGTGGCTCAGTCATTAAGCATCTGCCTTCGGCTCAGGTCATGATCCCAGGGTCCTGGGATCGAGTCCCACATCGGGCTCCCTGCTCGGCGGGAAGCCTGCTTCTCCCTCTCTCACTCCCCCTGCTTGTGTTCCTGCTCTCGCTATCTCTCTCTCTCTGTCAAATAAATAAATAAAATCTTAAAAAAAAAAAAAAAGAAAGAAAGAAAAATGTTTATATGCATTTATGTGTAATATACATGGTGGGCAAGTGCCCCCAATTCAATTTCTCCTTCTTTTTAGAACCCTGGTTTTTAGCTGAGCACATTGCCACCGAATAAAGACGAGCTGCTTCAGCTTCCCTTGCAGTTAGGAGTGATTATATGACTCTATTTCCCAGCATCCCTTGTAGCCAGGTATGGCTTTTGCTTATGTGAGATGTAAGCAAAGTGTTGGGGGAGGTTTGGGAAGAAACACCTTTACAAGGGAAGGTGTGAGTTCCACTAGACTTCTTCTTTCTTCTACTATTGGAAGGTAGACGCAATAGCTGGAGTGCTAGCAGCCATTTTAGACTTCTGCTGATCTTGAGGATCAAAATCAGTTCTAGGATAGTGGGACAGAAAATGAGGAGGGGCGCCTGGGTGGCTCGGTCAGTTGAGCATCTGCCTTTAGCTCAGGTCATGATCCCAAGGTCCTGGGATCGAGCCCCACATTGGGCTCCCTGCTCAGTGGGGAGCCTGCTTCTCCCTCTCCCACTCCCCCTGCTTGTGCTCTCTCTCTCTCTTTCTCTCTCTCTCTGTAATAACTAAACAAAAATCTTAAAAAATAATAAAAAATAAGAAAATGAGGGGCTTAAGTCCCTGAAGACATCATGGGATGGCCAAAATCCCCCTGAACTGCCTAACCTCAGACTTCTTTTATCTAAAAATGAATGAAAGAATGAATGGATGAACTTCAAGCTTATTTTGAGGATGTTTATTTGATTTTATTCTCTGTGCATTCAAACTTTACACTTTGGAGATGTAGGTCAAAGTGACTGACGACTACCTCCTCCCCAATCTATAGCACATGAGAGTCCAAAGCCCTCCCCAAGATACTTGTGAATTCCTGAGCTTGTATTCTCTTGGTCCTTCTGCCTCTGCACTTTCTTCTACGTGTGCCTTCGTAGCTCTGCCTTGCTCTGATCCAAATAGGAAAGTTGTTCTCATTGATTTCCACAAAAATCCATTCAGGATCTGGGCAAAGTATCATTTCACACATGGCATAGTAAACAACTTGCAAATCTACATCAGACCTTTCTATTAGCTCAGTCTTTTGCCACCCCACTTTCCAGCACTTCTCTCTTGGTTTTCTAGCCAGAAAGATGCTAGCGTCTCATCTGTCCCACTTCTCCCTTCACTCTCATTTCTCTGTTCCTACCCTCTTCCTTCCGGATTATGTCCAAATTCTTCTGCCTTGCTAATGAAAAGTAGTTCACTAACCACAGCTCCTTTCCCAAACTTTCATCAGGTGCCCAACAGATAAAACAAGTGATATCTAATAGAATGCACCCTCCTTAGAAGGCTGTGGTTATAAATGGCATACCCCTGCCAGATACATATCTCTAAAAATCTCAAGACCCTGCAAGTGTGTGAATGAGTGGGTGGGGTTTGTGGGGAGTGTCAGAGTGCACATCCTGTTGCGTGTCTAGGTTGCTTTGCACCATTGCTGGGCCACCCATAGCTAGAGGATCACTGGTTTATCTCCTGGTGCATGGCTCTTCCTGCTGGAAGCTACCAGCATACATCTCGGAGAGGCGTTACTGGTCTCCACACTCTCACCCAGTGCCCGCTCTGTGCTTACTACTCACGTGCATCACAAGTCTCCCCCCTCCAACCAGGACCTGTGGCTGGCCACTCCCCTGGGGCTTTCTGAATTCCAACTTTGCACCTACTTACGTGCTTTACTGAAATGGAAATCCCTTTAAATGCCCTCAGAAAATGTACAAAGCATGTTAAAATTCCAATATTACTTGAGAAGGATAATGTTAATTGATTGTTAGCTTTAAATTTCTCCAACATTTAGGGCACCTGGGTGGCTCAGTTGGTTAAGCGACTGCCTTCAGCTCAGGTCATGATCCTGGAGTCCCTGGATCGAATCCCACATCGGGCTCCCTGCTCAGCGGGGAGTCTGCTTCTTCCTCTGACCCTCTTCCCTCTCATGCTCTCTCTCAAATAAATAAATAAAATCTTTAAAAAATATATAATAATAAATAAATAAATTTCTCCAACATTTAGTGGTAGGTTTTTTTCGCTCTCATTGTCTCTTTAATCCTAGGAATTTTTCTATAATATTGGCATCATATGACCCATTTTGCAGTGACAGCAACTAATCCCAGAGAGGTGGACCCACTTGTCCAAAGGCACCCAGCTAGGAAATCGTGAAGCCACAATGAAAATGTAGGTCCCCCCTCCTAAATTCATAACTCTTTTAATTAGCAGATGGGCAGCCTTGTTGTGGATTAATTTACTATTTCCCTAGCACGGAACAGAAAGAGGATGGGCTAAAGCTAGAATAAATAAGCTCTGACTGGGGAGGAGCGGGTCAGCAAAGCATCTGGGGTTGGTGGGTCTGAACCGAGCACCACCGCAGAGAATCCTGGGAAGCCAAAAGCCAAGAGAGGGATCCCTGGTGTCAGGAAGAGGAGAAAGTCAAAGGAAAGGTATGCTTTTGTGACAGCACCAGCTTTTACAGTATCTCCTGCCGTCTAGGTCATTTTTTTTTTCCTGATTAAGGGACTTGCTGTGAATGAGATGGTGGAGGCCAATGCAGGTCAAAAAATAATCAGGAAGCATATTCAGACGGAACAAACCAGAACCACAGGTGTAGCATTTGGGAATTATAAACCCTCAGCCTTCTGCTACAGGGACTGTGGTTTGAAACTCCCCAAGTAAAGTAACAAAATGCTGCAAGGAAGAAATCTCATTCCGCACAGCAGATATTGAGAAAACCTGAATTGGAGCATCTGATAGCAGGAGTCCCCTAGAGACATTGTCCAGGGTCCAGCTAGTTATTATAAGCCACGGGCAGATCCAGGGCCCTTCAGCAAATTGCGCAGAGATCCTAGGTCTTGTGCTCTCAATGCTCAACGGACAAAGGCAGCCCTGCGGGGGGACATGAAAGCAGCCAGTCTGAGGGATGCCTTGAGGAACCCCCCACTTGGTGACAGAAAGGTTTTGCTGGGGGAGTCTGCGCATGCATTTACTTTGGCATTAATTAGCAAAAATCACTTCCTGATTTCTGTTTTCCTCTTTTGACCCTGCCCAGTAAGAATTTGACCTTCAAGCATGAAAATCAGTCTGTGGAAAACCTACCATGTGTCAGGTATGACTGACATACCCACACAGCTGAGGAATCTCATCGCTGGAAATGGTAAGGGACTTGCTTGGTGCTGCTCAGCTAAGCCAGGAATTCCCAGTTTGGCCAGGCCACAAGCCTGAGCACCCCAGGTTGCCTCCGGGTTCACTGTTCCTGGGTGGGGGTCGGTTTTGTAGGCAGAACTGCCTGTGTCCCACACACATTGACCAAGGCTGAAAACTCGCATTCAGCGTTAGGCTGAGAAATTCCTCTCACCCCGAGAGGCCTGCTTACAGCCTGCTCACAGCTATAAATCTAGACCAAAAGAACCTCAGGAAGCCCAGAACCTGTGCCAAATTCTCTTCTGGAAGCTGCCTGAAGATTCCTCACCAACCTATGGGTTAGCAAAAGAGACTGTGTCTTCCTGGAGTGCTGCCTAGCGCAAAGAAAGCATTCAATAGAGGCTGCCTCCTCCAATCCATGCCGTTTCCCCACACCTTGGCCTGCATCTAGCATGGGTGTCTTATCCTCCTCTCCAAGGCTGGCCTGGCGTGCAGATTTCATCACACTCCTGCTGGAATAATAACCAAAGATTTGATTTACTAAGCACTCTCTTCTTGCCAGGTACCCGGGAAGTCTCTAGAACTTCTCTAGGCCCTGCCCCCTGTGGTGGTCCTGGTGACCTCCAGAGCTTTCCTTGATCACAGGGTCAGGGACCTTGAGGACCAGCCTCAAAGGACATCACAGGCCCATGGTGACCAAGGTCATCCATGGTGTCTGTTGGTCCACCCTGTCCCGGGACATAAGCAGGGAAACACCCTGGCATGTGATATCACTGCTGCAGATTCAGAAATTTGACAAATTGGCATTTATTAAGCTAATGCTTACAAAGAAATCTTTAAACCATAAAAACTGGGATTTCCTACATCCTGGAAAGAATACAACTCTAAAATTCTGCCTGCTATTTTCAATGCCATTCCTTGAATAAAAGCAGGAGGAGGAGAAGGAGAGCTCTCTACCAAGTCTGATAGCTTTCACAATATTTCGTGAATTTTATAATAAGCTTTCCTCAGAGCCTCAACAAGGAGAGTAAAAATTGCAGGATCTCCCAGGCTTATCTAGATTGTGGTACGTTGGCCCAATCCCCTTATCTTGTCTGAGAATGGCATACGACTTTGCTGTATCCTGTTTCAGAACAAAGCACTTAGGTTATATGTCTTTTCTCTATCTAAGATCTGGTTCAGTTCCTCCCAAAACCCCAGAAAAACAGCATTCTGTTCTCATCTTCAAAACAGAAAGTCAGTCTCTTAAAAAAATGAACAAATCATCTACAGGTGGGGAATATAAACATGTTTTGAAATTCTGGAGGAAAGAGATGCATCACACACAGCCAAGTAAATATGACCAGGTTAATTCCAGCACATCCTTCTTCTCATTAGGTTTAAAATCCAGCCGTGCTGACTGCACATTACTGTCTCTATTCCTTATTTCCTGCACACCAGACTGAAGGCCCTGAGAAAACTTGAACCTCGGAGGAATAACCCAACTTCTCCAGGGGAAAAGAACCACCTGACCAGAATATTCTTTAGCAACAGAATAAGGAGCTCGATCTTACCATACAAAATTACTTAGAGCAAAACTAGATAACTTCTGAATAGAGCAAATTATAATTTCTATAATGTGTAGACGTTGCTGGTCACATTGCTACAGGTTGTGTGTTTGTGGTTTGTTTGGTTTTTTTTCTTCAGTTTTAGTTTTGTTTCGTTTTGCAAGAGCGAAAGGGGAAGAGCCTCCTAACAGGCCCCAGGAGGATTCCAGCAAGCCTCGAGGTTCCCCTGGCTTCTTACTGACTTCAGCTGGCGAGCACAGAAGGGCACGATGTTGCTGTTGCTGCCACTTGGGTTTGTCCTTTCGAAGCACTTTTTAACTCAAAAAACCTGCCTCCCAGGGACTCCTTGAAGCTCTTTCCGGGCGCAAGCATCTGGTGCACACGCTCGCTCTCTCTCTCTCTCTCTCTCTCTCTCTCTCGGTTCTGCAAGAGGAAGGAGTGGGTCTGTGAGTGTTTGTATGTTTTTCTAGTCTCTTCACACATATGAAAAGTGTGTATATGTGAGAGTGTGGGGAGTGTGTGGGGGGGTCAAAGAGCGGAAGAGAAGCTTCCGTGGCCCCGGCTTCAGTGTCCCTCGGTGGGCAGCCTCTGTAGCCAGGCTGGTCTCTCCTGGTGCACGCTTCTGAGATGACGTCCCTCTGGAATATCCTTTTGGCGACAACCCTGTTCTTACTCCTGCCCCTTCACACGTCGGCCTCTCCAGCCTCTGACGACCAGCCCAGCGCCAGACACTCCAGTGGCCACACCTGTGTGGGTAAGTAAGCATTTTGTATATTTTTCAGGCGGACACAACAATGGGGTCAAATACTTTGCGTAGCAAGTCACCTATTTAATGACGTCAATAGCTATGAATTCCAAGTTGGGTGCCAGTAACCTCACCAACACAGAAAACCTTTGAGCCCGAGAGTGAGCATTCACACGACGGCACATAAGTACTCTACACAATTACTCGTTTGAATTAGTTGTAAAAGCCCTCCACCTCGTTGGTGATTGGAATTTTTTTTCTCTTGGATGGGCAACCCTTCTAAGAGTCTGAAACTCTTACCCCTTTCAGAAGGACAGTGGGCACCATCACAGAGTAGAAAGAAGATGGCCTTTCACCTCAGACAGCATCACTTCTGCCATTTTCTACTGCTCAGGTGGTCCTGATCTCTCCACTCAGACTCAATGGTAGGGGACATTGTTCCCTCCTTTTCGCGGGGAGTGTCGAGGAATTTGTGGCCCTTCTCGTTAGCCATGGGGATTCCTTTGGTTTCTTATGCAAATAGTCCATGGCCCCAAGAGCTCAGGGAGTCTGTTGCTGGTTAGGTTTGATGATGGTTTAGCACCCATTTCCCCAGGTCACAACTTCTGGCTAACTCTGCCTCGAGGTGTTGACCTGTCCTCACGGTAAGAAGAAAGGCGAGTGCAGGACGAGGCCGGCATGTGATCAACATTGACTCGGCCCTGATTGTGCTGAGCCAGGGGCTACAGGCGGTTCCAGCTGGGGTCTCACTGTTTGGATTGGTTCCTTCGAGAAACAGACTCAGAAATTTGTGCACAGGGGAGTTTATAGAGGTGTGCTTTTGGGGAAAACACCATGAAGAGGGTGAAGCAGCAGGAATAGGTAGGAGGAAAATATGGGCTATGCTATAGCCTCTCTCTCTCTCTCTCTCTGTCAATCCCACAGAGAATTCTGGAGCCAAATGGCTCTTCAGAGTGGTCTGAGGTGGGTCTAGACCCTGGAACTGCCACACTGAACAGGCACTGCTATGAACTGACCCCAGTGGGGAGCTCCCTTGCATGGGGGCAATGCCTATAGAGACATCGGTGCGAGCCCTTAACACCAACAGTCCCAGCAACAGGGGGAGGGGTTATCTCCTAAAAGGGAATCTGGGGGTGCTCTGGTTTACAGGTCCAAACGCAGGGTGTGTCTTAGGAAGCAGTGAGGGAAGCTCATTCACAGCTGGTAGTAAGAGGAAGAGCACCGTGGAGGAGGCAGGAGAAGAGAAGGGATGCTGGCGGGGCTTCTGCTCCTTTCTGGTGAAAAAGCAGGATGATCTGACTTCAAATCCACTGGCACAAAGGCACTTTCCTCCGTGTCCACTCGCCTCATGGTCATGGAATGGCCACCACATGCCAGGGCCTGCACTCCGAGCTAGAGATACAAAGGTGAATAACCATAATTTCTAAAATGCCTCTGTCCTCAGGAATTGACTGTCCAGTTTAGGGGGAAAAAATGAGAATCAGTTCTCATTACAGTTCTGATTACAGTTCTTTAAAGTGAAAGACAAACTGGGTGCTTAGTGCACGCGGTAATACCCCACTTCCCAGGAACCCTATAAACCGCAGTGTCCATGGGAGAGCCAGCAGAAAGCCCAGAAGCACAGAGCAAAGGCTGGTCATTTCAAAGCAAACAACTGCTGACTGCAAGAACCTCATCATGTTCATAAAGTCAGCCAGAGGAAGGTGAAAGTATAAGCTGGGTGAAAAAGAGGAGGAGTGGGGTAAAGGGTTAGAATTTTAGAAATGTTTCTACCCAAGTGTTGCTGGTCAAAGAAGGAAGCTGCAGGGGTCTCAAAGATCCCATTGCCATTACCTCCCTCTTGAAAGGCGCTGGGCAACAAAAATCTCCTTGAGAAAAGTGGATCAGCCAGTTGGATTTCTGATCATCCAACTGAGCGGTCAGAGTCTGAAATTCTTACCCCTTTCAGGACAGTGGGCATCATTACACAGTAGAAAGAAGATGGCCTTTCACCTCAGACAGCATCACTTCTGCCATTTTCTATTGATTTATATGAACTACCTCATTTAATCATTAAAATGACCTTATGGGATATATCATCATTATTCCCACTTGGCAGGAGAAACAATTGAGACTTAGAGAAATAAGCAACTTGGCCAAGTTTACACAGCCAGTTAAAACTTGCCTTAGATTTCACTATAAGTGTGATTACGGTTTTTTTAAGGGATTAGGTTGGGGCAATATATTTCTTCCCCACATTTTTTTAAATAAAATTTTATTTTCTAGCATTGTTGAGATATAATTCACATACTATAAAGTTTACCCCCTTTAAAGTATAATGTTTATTAAGCATATTCATAAGCTGTGTATTGATCATCAATATTTACTTCAAACACTTTTATCAGGCTAAAAAGAAACCCAATATTTATTAGCAGTCGCTCCCCATCTCCTTTCTTCAGCCCCTAAAGGGGGTCTCAATGAACACTTCATATAAATGGAATAATATGATACATGGTCTTTTGTTATAGACTTCTTTGACTTAGCATAATGTTTTCAAGGTTCATCCAGGCTGTAGCATGTACCAACTTCATTTCTTCTTATGAATGAATAATAGTTCATTGTCTGGATATGCCCTACATGGTTTATCTAGTCATTGTTGATGGACATAGGGGTTGTTTGCAGTTCTTAGCGATTCTGAATAATTCTGCTGCAAATATCCATGTACGAGGTTTTTGTGTGGACATTTGTTTTCTTTTCTCTTGGGTATATACCTAGGAGTGGAATTTCCAGGTCATATGGTAACATTTTGAGGACCTGTCAGACTGTTTTCTAGAGCTGCTGCACTGTTTTACATCTCTACCCTCAGTGCATGAGGGTACGATTTCCCCACAACCTTACCGATCCCTTGTTATTACCCAGCTTTCTTATTATAGTCATCCTAGTGGATATGGATGGATACCTCATTCTAGTTTTGATGTGAATTTCCCAAAATGATAATGATGTTGAACATCTTCATGCTTATTGACCATTTACATACCTTCTTTGACAAAATGTCTATTTAAGTCACTTGCCCTTTTATTTTTAAGATTTTATTTGTTTATTTAGAGAGCACGAGGTGGGGAGGGGCAGAGGGAGAGGGAGAGAGAGAATCTCTAGGGGACTCGACGCTGAGCCTGGAGCCGGAGCCTGACGCAGGGCTCGATCCCAAGACCCTGAGATCATGACCTGAGAGGAAATCAAAAGTCAAACGCCTAACTGAATGAGCCACCCAGGCACCCCTCATTTGCCCATTTTTAAATTGGGTTACTGTCTTTTTATTGTTGAATTGTAAAAGTTCTTTATATAATCTAGATATATATCCCTTATCAAATATACGATTTGTAAATACTTTCTCCCGTTCTGAAGGGGTTTCTTCCCTTTCTTGATGGTATCCTTGGAAGTGCAAAAGTTTTACATCTTGATGAAGTCCAATTTATCTATTTTTTCTATTTTGTCTGTTGTGCGTTTTGTGTCATATCTAAATCCCATATTTTAAAAAATTGTTGTTTTAACTATTGTCTTCCTTTTGTCATGTGCCCATCCCCTTACCTTGTTTCCCAAACATTGGGTTTTGGTAACTCTGAGTATAACTCTTGGGGTTGTAAGTAACAGGAATTAACTTGAGTTGAGCTAGGGTAAGCAAAAAGAAAAAGGAAGACATTTTCTTAGGAGAATCCCAAGAATGAATTTTAGAACCAAAAGGCAGAAAAATAGAGCTGACTCTGTTTTTCTAAACAGTGAGCCAGGATCCAAAAAAGGTTGGCTGCCAGGGCCCCAGGGAGTTCTCTCTGGCCTCCTGGTACTGCCTTCATCTCTGACCCTACAGACCAGCTGGTTTTCTTGCTCTAGGCCCTTTGGCAGATCATGGGCCCCCCCAGTCCAGAGTTTGCCTGCAGTCATTCAGCACACACAGAGATGGACTCTCCTTCTCGTTGTTAATCCAAGAATCTGGGTCAAATCTTTAGACCACTGAGTAAGGGGCAGGTGGCAGTGAGGAGAGCTTACTGCACAGATGTGTTTGTCAGAGAAGACACCTCTCACGGAAGTGGGGATTGCTGTGACTGGAGAGATACTCTAAGAGAAACCACCACAGAAGTTACTGAGTGAGTGAACCAACATCCCTGTGTAAACAAACAACTTCAGCTTCAGACCCAAAAGGAGTCTTTGTAGTAGGGACCAACCGGCAGACCTGGAGGGCATGGTCTTAAACAGATTCCAAAATCCAGCTGTGCAAAGCCCCAGTGGCCCCTCTCCCAATTTACCATAATTTGTTTGCATGGAACTGTACATCCCATTTGATCACTAAGCAAACGCTGATTCCACTGTCTGTGAACAAGCAGTGCCTCTTTCTGCCACTTTCCAAATGTTATGGAATCAATAATAAGCCACGTTCATTTCTGCAAAACATCGTTTTCTTTACACGGGTGATTTAGGGGCAAAGTAATCTTTATGTTTTTAAATCATTGACATTTTAAATTAATTCATTGAGTTTTGAGGGGATTTATTTATTTATTTAAACCACTATGTGGTGCTCAGGAAGCCTTCTAAAAGGTTTTTTAAAAAAAACAAAAAAACAAAACCACCTTTCTCCCCCCTCATTCACGTTTGGTTAAATTTACAAAACAGCTTCAGAGCCCGTTAAATCCCCCTCTCCCCACCGCCCAGCCCTGGCATCCCACACAGAGTGGTCAGAGGTGACTTTATAGTTTGAATGATAAAGAGAAAGTGGTGAGTGGTAAGATGACAGTGTCACTGACAAAACTAGGAAAGATTTAGAAGAGCTGGCAGAGAAGTTTGAAAATTTATGATAAAAATTTTATATCCAGAAATTTCATTTTCTCTTTTTCTCTGTAACTGAACACTTGTTCCTAAGCCACCACTGCTGCTGACAGCAGAAAACACTTCATCTTAGCCCTTCTGTGTTTAAATTTATCCTCCCCACCCCTTCAGGGTTCTCTTCTTTCCTTTCTGAGGGTTGGTCTCAGTTCTGC